GTTTTACTTTAAATTTAGGTTTAGATCTATTAAACTTATTTTCTCCTTAGGAAAGAAGTAGGTACACTTATTTCAATGTGCTTTTCAACAAATCTTTTCATGATATTATAGCAGTTTGTTTGAATATACACATTTGGGTGTTACTATATATTCTTGTGATGAACATCGTCTTTATGTTCACATCTATTTGAAGGAAAGCTCTAGAAAACTATATGGATGCACAAGCAGTAGACATTTTTACAAACCTTATGTCTGAAAATATGTATTTACATCAAAATAACACATTGAGATATGATAGGGGTTTTCCATAATATTTAATTAGATTGTTTGCTCATGTAATCAAAGTGTCTATCTTATGAATTGTTTCTGAAACAAATATGTAAGCCAGATACATATTATCATTCCTCTTTCACAGGTGGAAATACCGAGGCGTGGTCCCAACGAGACCCACCTCCTGGAAGCTATATTAAATAGCCATGTGCTCAGATTTTTTGCAAAATCAGGCAGTAAGGGATTCATCAAAGATTAGGATGGCAGACGTGGAAAATGAAATATGCTCTTTTTACTCCAGCTGTAGTGTCAGGAGGTGGGCAGACAGCCTGAGTTTGAATTTAGCCCTTCTCCAATAATTCAACTGGGGGAAAAAAACTGTGTTTGCAGAAGCCCAGAGCAGGAATCAAAAAAAAATAAAGACTAATAATAAGAAATAGTTCTAGGGACATATCAGGACTTTGGTGAAATTACATTCTGGTATTTTAGGACATTCCCAATTCTATAACAAATTAAAGATTAGACCATGTGTGTCCCTGCATTTGGAAAACATACTTTCCTTTGCTAGCTAAGCATCTGCTAATTTGGTAATATCTGCTCTGAAGCTCATATGAATGAACCTAACAGAATTTTGCTCCTTTTGAACTTGTTATGTGAGAGCCTATATCACTTCTGCTCAATTTTCCATAATTTTAACTTCTGTTATAAATCACTAGGAAGAAGCATTTTTCAGCCTAATATGCCGTGGTCAATTTAGATAACAATAAGTATCATCAGATGCAATAGGAAGTTTTCTATGTAACTTACATATCATCAGTGCTCTTTACGGCATCAGCTTTTGCCACAGGTGTAGCAGTTGCAGGGTTTTATGTCATGTTTAATACAAACACCCTGTACAGTATGAGAAAATTAATTTTCTCTTTCAAGGAGTCAAAATGAAAGTTTCTAGTGGTTTAGTAAATAGCACTACTGTCCAACATACAGAAACACAAGCTTTGTTAACACCTAATTCAAGACCTCATAAGATAAACAAACTCCCTATGTTATTTTCATTCTCCTTAATCACAAGGAAAAAAAACGCAAATAATAATCAAACATAAGAAACCAAAACTTCTAGTTTTACATTATCAATATAATCTAAATGCTGGTATCACATTTTTATTTTTGGAAGTACTATTTGTATTTTGTACTAATGAAACGCTAGTGATATACTAAAGAAATAAAACTCCTTTGGAAAAATAATTTTATACATAGTCAATTGAAACAGCTTCTAAGCAACAAATTCCCATAAAACATTTTAGAAAGATTATCTTCGTAGCATTGACTTAATGAATACTCAAAATGCAAGCTCAAATCTACCCTGTAAAGCAATCATGCTTTTTTAGCAACTATTTTGACCTTAGTGACACAAACAATTAATTCTACAAACTTAATATAAAAATAAAATTCTACATCTAATGCAGAATAATCTGTCAATGTATTTAATCAAGGATATGCTTTTTTTCATGCATTATACATTCCAGTATGAAACACTGATTTTAACGTACAAGGAAAAAAATGAAAGTGAAAACGTCAGAAGTATACAAATGTACACATACAAGAGAGGATACTCACCGTTAAGACAAAAAAAAGCAGAAGACACAAATCTGAGCAGATTACAGTTTTCATTATATTTTAATAGCAAAACTCTATATTCACTTTAGTAATATTTATAAATTCATAAATATCGACAGTAAGATAAAAAGTTGCTTACGTTCAAGTCATACATCTTCAAAGCCGACCTGATGACTTGTGACAGCACCCAATCCATTTATCACCAAGTATATATTACAATATATTATAGAATACTGTCATTCTGTCTTGATACACGGATGAGAAATAACTCCCTGATTTAAGTCAAACTTCCCATTTCTATATAAAGATCACAACAACATAGTTCATCAAGTAAACAACAGAACTGTCCAAACTCTACATAATTGCTTATAAGAACCTAATGAAGTCTAACTTAGCCTATTTACTTTCTATAAATCCACCACATGTGTAACTTAACAAATTTAACTTCCCCAGTTGCTCTTTGTATATACTCTAAAATTGCTCAAGATTAACTTTCCCCAGTAAATATTCGTGCCACTTTAGTGAACACTTATTTTATGATTTTACTCATCTGATATACCTATTTTAGCATCACTTTATGTAGCTGCCCAGTTGAAATAAATTATTAAAACCAGTGATCATTTATCTTGCTTCCTTTAGAAAAAGATGTAACAAACTTGATTTGTTTATTTGAAGGCCTGCAATAAAAAAACTCAGGGAAGCCAAAATCAGAATGTTAAACTATGAGATGAGCATGTTACACCTTGCACATATTTAAACAATAAATAAATCTTAAGAATAATAACTGCAGGTACAATGGGGTTCGCTCTGGTTTTTTCTACTTCTCAAAGTTTGTTAGACAAGTTGCATATTAAAAATAATATGTCAGAGAGTTACTACTGTGACAATAATAAAACCAGTCATCATTTTCCTCTTAATTCATATTTCAAAAGGCATCTGGTCAAAAGCAGGGAAAAAAAAAATGAAATAGAGAGAGGAAGAAGAACAAAAGTAGCACAAAGCTACGCCCCTTACCTAAAGGACATCCTACTGCATGTTTACTAGTGTTTATGTTTCACATCAACATATTTTATAGAAGGATTTATATGCCTAACTCAAGTTGTATTTAAATCCTACAGTGCAGACCCTACCATAAAATGCCTCTTGAGTCCTATTAACTGTACCCATGGTTTTACTTTGCCTGTCTGCTTATTTAAGATCTAATCACAGTTTTGAAGAAAAGATTGTCACTTCTAAGCCTGTCCCCTCAGAACCTGTCTGTTATTAGTACTCAACTGGATATTTTCATCTTCAGTTGTAATTCTCTGTGGTCTTTGCAAATGCTATCTACTGGAATCTGTGACTGTATGGACAAATTGGCTACATATGCCTAGGACTGCTACTCTGAGAAACATGTAAGTGGCACATTAGTCTGTTGGCATTTTTGTATTTTAAAGTGTTTCATTTAAATTTAGTTTTTTAAAAATTTTCACCAATTAAATACACTCTTTCTCAAAAAAAATTTTAAACTGTTGTTATAATCTGAACACCTGAATAAAGATGATGGCATGATTTTCAACGAAAACTATTAAATTTTTATATCTATATGTATATGCATACAATTTATGAAAATAGTATAAAAGTACAAAGTACATATATAGATAATAGTGTATATATAGAGAGGGGTGTAAATCTGCTAAGAACTTAATGAAGACACTGAAACCTGTATTTCTTCAGACTGTAATTGTTAAAATCGAATACACTCAAATTTGAAGCAAGGCACAGATTTAAGCCTTAACAACCTCTCATATTTCAATCTACAACTATTTAATTTCTCCACATTTTCTGTCACCCTTTAAAATATTTAACTATAAATGTAGCTAGTGTACATTGCTTAATTCAGCACTAAAAATGATTCAATTTTAAGAGCTATTATGACCTGTTATTTCAGAGGCCCGTACACATGCAATTTATATATCACGTTAAAACATGTTTCTATAAAACAGCAGGTTTATAATATTCTATCTTACAGGAGACAATTTTCCTTCCATTAATGCAATACCTGACATTGTAATGAAAAGCCTCAGTATTTAAAATCAAGGGTTTGAACTCCAAAGGTGCTGAGTGGCCTCAGCAGATGAGAGGACGAGACACCAAAGACTTCAGGAGTTTGAAGCTGGTATTGGACACTCTGCAGAATCAGATTTCAATTGCTTACAAAACAAACTGTTTGGGCTTCACTGCATCAGTACAATCTGTGTCCCCTGATGGGGAGGCAACTCCTTAGGTAGACAAAGTAGGAGTTATGTTTGTACAGCTTTTAAAAGGAACAGAAATCTTACAGTGACAAAAATTAATGGATTGCATCCCATAATTAGATTGTGTCAGCATCCAGAGGACAATTTAATTTTACAGGTTTAAACATAACAACAGTTATCCATTAACTTGTTGAGAACAAAACAGATAAGCTTAAAAAAAAAATGTTTTAAAACTGAGAATGGAAACATACCTACAGAAAAACTGCTTCTCTCTTTTCCCATATTTTCAAAATCACACATCCATGTTACACACACACACGCACACATAGGCAGCAACATATGCTCTCTTTTATTTCAGTGCTTCTGAACCAGCTTTTTTTTTTTTTTTTTTTTTTACACCTAGGACAGCAAAGCATCTTTTTCGTGAGAAGTGACTGCTGCCTTCACTAAGGTCCCTTCACTGCCCAGCTCTGACTTTGGCTCAATTCACTGCAAACGAAACAAAGTCTCAAGTAATGTGGCCCTCTGGTGGAAAGCCCTGCACCATGTCCTGCGCTACCGAATCACACAGTAAACTAACAGTTCCTGAAAACATACACTGCAAGGCTTCAGCACAACTTTTATAAATACGCTGCAGGACTTTAATCACCGGGTGAGTGTGGTGGCGTGCAGCCGTATCAGCAATATGTTTCCACCACGAGAACGGGACCCTTGCATTTCAACATCAACGTGCACTAAAACAACAACAAATAATGCCCCACACTGTTCAGTTTCACGACACTTCACATTCAGCGCACACCGAGAGTCTGCAAAAGGGTGCCCCTCTGAAAAAAGCCCTTTTATTTGTTTAAAAACAAACAGGAAACAAAACAAACTTACCTGCTGTTGTTGCAGATGCAGCAGTTCTACTGTGCTTACTTCAGTGCTCGTGTCACCACTTGATCTTCCATCTCTGCTGCCAGCATCTAATTGGCTGCTTAGAGTGCTCATTCCATTTTGATTCATTGAACTGTTGCTTATTGTCTCTGTCGCAGATTCCTGCATCATGACTTAATACCTAAAAGTGATTAAGAAGTATCAATTAACACACGCGTTACACCTTCACACTTCCATTATCAAGATGTCCCTCTCTGCCAATTATACAGACAGCATCTTTAGAAGAAGAAAAAAGCCTCAAGGAGCCGTTTACCAAGAAATGTGATGCAAACTCTGCTTTCATACAGCTACTAATCACCGGAATTATGGTTTCTATAAGCAAGCTTTGTGTGCTTACATTTAACAGCCAAAATAACACACCACGCAAGGAGCATGGTCAATAGCATTTATGAACGACTACATTTTAAAGTCTACCTATAAAACCAGTTTAAGTGAAGACACGATTTCACACACTGCTCTATATTTCCTATTATCTAGCTTTGACAACCATGGATGACTATACAGCCTTATTTAAAATATTCACTATCTTGATTCTGTCAGAATTTTACAGCATATCTTATGCAAGGCTGTTGTTTAATGATGCACAGCTAATCATACAAAATTAAAATTTTGTAAGGGTGATACAAATCATATGGTATCAACCAATGATAAATAGTATAATGGGCTTCTCCTTTTTTGTGACTAAATAAAATTTTGCCTCGGAGGCATTTTAAGAAAAAGCTCCTGCTGCAAACACGTCAGATATTGCCTATTTTTTTAATCAAACGGCTGATATTCATTTATTTTTCTGACATTTAAAACATTTAATACTGTCCTTCCTGGGAAGTAATTAAGCTTATGCATGAGCAGCAATCAAACTGTTCACTTGAAGATGACTTAAAACTCAATTTTAACATAGGCAAATAAATGAAAGATATAAAATTAATTTTCCAGGCATGTATTAGATATGAAAGCTGGAAATAAAATCTATCAAGAATATCACTAATGATTGTGCTAAAAACAGCATAAATTATGCATATTACCTTCTCTACAGTAATAAATGTTTTATCATTTTCACTGCATAAATATACTGTACTTTCAGGATAGCAATGAGATGTCCTGCCAAGATCAGTTGAAATCTTTGCAGTAAATAAAGAACCAATGTGCCCTTACAAACCAGAATTTCAAGATACATTTTGTATCTGTAATATGGAAAGGTCAGTGTCTCTTCTCAGAGCCACCGAAGTCCTCTCCTGCTCTCGCAGGGTCAGAATGGACCTTACTTTCCTTCATCCTCACTCCTAATGTACTGACAGAGTCCTCACAACCACCCGGCTGAACTGTGATTTTAAAAGACACCTCTGAAGGGAGAGGGATGTGTAGGCAAACTCAGGAAAGGAAACATAGCTTGCTGCTTAGCCTAATTATTTTACTTAGCTATTTGTTCCCTTGCAAAGCATGAGCAATTGCCTTTCCCTGGGAAAAAAAAAAAAAAAAACCACAGGAAAAGGATCATTACAACTTTGACAATGTGCATGGGATATTAATTAAAATGCAGTATGAGTTACCACAAACAAGCACCAACAAGATAAAGTGAAAGTATATATTGTGTGAAGAGTGTTAAAATAGCAAGAGACAAGTTATTTAGGACAGTCTGGTCAGAAAAAAAACAGGATGCAAAAAACCTAAACACAAACACAGTTAACATAAAGGAGGGCAGCTATTATAGCCGAGTAAACAACAGCAGCACCAGATGTGTTTATGAACAAACAGCCTTTCTTAAACACTTAGGAACATCGGTGAAGAAAAATAATAGAAATGGAAAATATGATACATGCAGTGATGAATTTTACAAGGCAAAAACAAAGCTAATACTCTTTTCTGAGATTAGGCAGCTAATAAGTATTCAAATTAGGCATAAATTTTACATGTACAATGTTTAAAATATTCAGAGAAAAGGGTCTGATTGCCCTTAGTAGTTATATGAAAATTCTAATGCGGGTATGCCACAACTGTGGAAGCAGACAGCCCTTTCCGATTTTTACAATATTTACTTTCAATAAAAAGACATGTATATCAGAGTGGAAATTTATTTAAAACACTTCATCAACTGTATCGTTACAAGGATTTGGAAATTTGGGAAACTCAAACATTAATCCTCTTTTAGTCAAACAAAGATTTAACCAACAGACAGGTTCATCTTACAAATTTGAACATTAGACAATAACAGTGGTACATTTAGCCAAGTGCATTAAAAGGGCAAAGGGGTGTAAACGTTAGATAATCAAAACATTAGAAAACACCCAGTAATTTCATAAATTTCTGAATCTTTCATTACAATTAGCAGAGAAGGGTTAAATATCTTCCAGTTCATATTGACCAAAGGGGTTTATGTCTTGTGGATTTTGTATCCTTGCAAAACCCCAGAGTGTAGTTCAGGCGCTGCATTTTAAGTTAAAATGTCTGTGAGCCAGCAGAATCTGCTTTAACGTAACATGACCAGTAACACTATTCTGGCAATAGAAAACAACAAATCTGACCCAAGAGCTGTGTACAGACAGAAGGAAACTACAGAGTTACAATACTAGAAAGGGTAATTTATTTCCAAGTGAAGTTGAAGAAATACTGAAGTATTTATATGAAGAAAAAGAATCCCTATAATTCTTTGTTAAAAATAAAGTGTGGGAGTTTTTTCTAGCAGTAAAAGGTGATTTTTAAAAACAACACAAACTTTGGCTTGAGTAATGTTCTGTGTTGGTTGTGCACATCCGCACTCCCCCCTCCCCCTGCCAGCAACTTAAAAAGGGCTGCTGGAGAAAGTAAGAGAATAGAAAATTTTTCTTTTTTTCTTTTCCCTTCTTTTCTCTTGCATACACACACATGCATACACATGAATCTATGCACTTGTGTGTGCACATACTATCAACTCTAAACCCTTGAAACTGAAGTACTTAAACAAGGACAATTTCTGAAATCTATGTATCAGTAATATGACTAACTGGTGGCAAAATAACTTGAACCTGCAACATCTCACTAAGCAAACTAATGTCCTTTTTTTCTTGCTTTTCGAACAGTAGTCGAGGTTGTTAGCATAATAATCATAAATAAATACAAAGGAAATACGATGACTGTCAGATAGTAAGGCTGAAAGTTTAATAATTCCGATAGGACAAGAAAAAATATATAGGTTCTTCTTTAAATACATTTATACACATTCATACTTTCTAATCCTTCTCTTTTTCTCTTGCTGTCACACTTGCTGTCAGTCATGAGCGTGCCTACACAGGCACACATGCACCCACATTCACAGACACAAACATTCACCAGCACCTACTTCTGTGATTCCGTAACTCTGGGCGCCAAAGGTGAGATATAAGCTTTGCTACCTGGTATTTTGAACAAAAGTATGGGGAAAATATTTGCTGTTCTCTGCACAAGAGAGTGAAATTGTAGATTATTGTAGTGCGTGGTTGCACAGCAGGTTGAATGCCTAACACTGCCAGGGTAGCCATGCTATCACACATACCCAAAAAAGAAATCCTCCTCCTGTGAAGTTAGAAGCTACATTTTTACTTTTCTCCCCTGAAGCGAACTGCACATTTTTTGTGTGCGCGTGTGCACGCACGTGCACGCATGTATGTTTTAAGCAGGCAAGTCACTGTACAGATACTTATTCTCTACACCACTTCCCTTTTGAAACATTAAACTGACACTGGAACTGACTGCACAAGATTGCATTTTCTCTTCCTAAACAACTTGAATTGAAAGGTTACTTAGTGTAACAATATTTACTTGCAGAATTGTGTTGTTACCAAGGGTATAATGGATGGTGGCTATGCAGGTTTACGCAAGAATGAGTGAAGCATGAGGCATTAGCCATGTGTTTGACATGTTTCAAATTGCTATAATCCAGCATTAAACACACCCAGCAATTCATGCCATTTCTTGCAGCCATAATCTTGAATAAAGCGTGCACAACCACTTATTATATAAATTAGTATATGACTCCCTGTTATAGTCACAACAGTGCTTTTGTGTTTATTTTGCATCAAGACGGGGTCTTTTATTTGTACAAATAGCAGGATAGCGCGCCGTAGTGCAATTAGACCTCCTCACTTTATGACAGGGTGTATGGCACGCCGGGCCCGCGGGCCCTGCCGTGCCCTGCCGGGCCCAGGCCGTGCTGGCGTGCCGGGCCCGGCGCCCAGGGATCCGCTCCCGCCCGCCCCGGGCCCCGCCCGCCGGGAGCGGGAGCGGGAGCAGGAGCGGGAGCAGCTGCCGCCAGGGGGCGCCACGGGGCCGGCAGCGGCCCCGCCCCGAGCGCGCAGCCCCGGCCCTCGAGGGCGCCGTGCCACGTGCCGGGCCAGGCGAGGGGCGAGACCGCGGCGGGGCCGTCCCGCTCCCCCGGCAGGGCCGTGACGGGGCCGAGGGCGCAGTGCCTGCTGCCCCGCAGGGCTAGAGATTTGGAGCCTGCAACTGCCAGCACAGAGCACCACCACGGCAACACCCCGAGACCCATAGTCTTGTGCTGACATCCAGGTGCCCGTGTTGGTTGATCCACAGACGAGACAGACTCACAGCACACGGTGCTCAGTACCACAAACCTGAGATTCCCTAAATGGTCATGCACTTGCCTCACTTCCCACCTTAAGACACAGACTAACCTGCAGCCTTTTCAAACTGGACTGTGATGTAAAAGCAGAGGTGAGGAGCTAGGCTTAAATAATAGTAACTTTTGTGCTTTGCTGGAATTAATTCATCATTGACACAAGGCACAATGCATCTGAAATCTTGCTGGTACGCTAGAAGTCTTTAATACTTAAGATTGCTTAATAAATCAAAATGCCAAATATGAAGGACACAGCTGAATGTGTGAGAACAAAAAATTGAGAAAGCTAAGAGAATATTTGTAAAGCTTTGGGGTTTTTTTCCACTTTATCTAAAACATTTATCTTTCAAATCTTGAGTTAAGCAGAGACATAAGTCACTGCATATTTTTAAATATGTACATAAATTACGTTTAAATAATAATATATACATATATTCTATATAGATATAATATATAAATAATAAATATCATTATGTTTAAAACTCTAATTAGGTCAAACACTATTGGAATACCATAAAGTATCTATATTAGTA